ATTCTGGCAAAACTGTGCTTTTGACAGTATAGTTTATTTCAGAGGGAAGGGCTATCCACAATAAGTTATCCATGCCAAAGTGCAGATTTGGAAGTATATACTGAGTCCACACTAGGAGTGCTTTACAGGTATGCTATAACAGTAGAGCTATGTCAGCAAATCCCCCTAGTTCAGATGCAGTTTATACAGTTCTTTTGCTGGTATAACTTAAACCAAAACTAAGCTATGCCAGCAAAAGAACATTTTTGCCAGTACAACTGCATCAGCATTAGGGCTTTTGCCAGCATAGCTATGTCAGTTAGCAGTGTGATTGTTTTCACACTCCTAATCAACAGTTATGCTAATAAGGTTTCTAGTATAGACCAGATCCAAGTGTAGATCTGACCCTAATCTATACTAGAAAAGGGTTGCATGTGTTTTTATACCAGTATCGCTACACTGGCAAACCCTCCTAGTGCAGACATAGTTTATACTTGCAAATTGCTAGTATAGCTTTTACTGATTCCCCCAGCAAAACAAGTTACACTAGAGCTTTTGCAGATACAGTATAAAAATGTCATAAAAAATCACCCACCCACCCCCACCCGGTATTACCATATTGGCAAAAGTTTTGTGTATAGCTCTGGCCTAAGCCTTTAGGGTGCATTTCGATAATGTTTTCAAGATTTCCTCTACAACCAGATAATGAATGTTTCTAGCCTAAGAAAAAAAGTAATCTTGATTCACACCTAAATTTGCTCCTAGGAGCTGGAGCTTTAAGAAAAATACTATGCATCGGGACACTCATAATGAGAGGGTTGCACATTTTGTTGCTTCCCTAGGCTGAGCACTTTGCACACACTGGAGGGTCCTTGCATTTCTCTCTTCCCAGCCACAAGTTCCCTGTGTGCCACCCTCCCCTCCGTTGTAGGGACTCTCTTCAACCCCTTCACCCCTTCCCTCATGCCAGGGTCTCCATGTCCCCCTTCCCTTCAAGCCAGGGTCTTTGTCCCCCATTCTTCCTCCCACACCGGCAGCTCTGTTTACCCATAGTTCCCCTGGCCCGCATGCATGGGGCACCGTGTGTCCACATTCTCCCCATGCTCACTATTCCCCCTTCCTCACCATGGCAAGGGCTTAGCGTGCCTCCCTATTTCCCCCTCCCCCATACTATTGTCCCCCATTCCTCCCATACAGGATCTCTGTGTGCCCTCCATGCCAGGGGCTGTGTGCTCATCCCATATCAGAGTTCCTCATTCTTCCTCCTTCTGTGTATCCCTCATTCCCCCTTCCCTTGGGTTTCCATGGGCCCCCTGCCTATGCCAAGGAGTGTGTATGTACGCCCCAGCCCCCCACCTCCAACCCATTCTTTTTCTTTCTCTCTGGGAGATAAGTAATTCAGGGTGTCAATATGTTTAAACTGTACTAGGAACAGCAGCAGAGCTGAGATTGGGGTATTGCTATGCTGGAAAGCTGCCATCAGCTGGTTCTTTGATCTACAGCCACAGTCGTTGGTTGAAGATGCTCAATCTGCTAACCAGATGCCAGAGGATCTGGTCACCCCCCATTTTGCCCTGCTGGCTTTTTGATTTTCATCCAAAGCAATAGGGGTCTGCCCACTGATACCTGCAACAATCCCTGAAAGTTTGGAGTTGATCAAATGCAGCATTCAAACATTATTGCATTGCAGACAAGCATAGAAAATGTCACCGCACCGAGTGCAAGATTTCATTTCACCTGGCCAACTAGAAAAAGAGGTTGAGTTTAGGTTGACCTTAGCTACCACATATTAGCTAAGCCCTCACTAAATTAGTCTTGACTAGAAAAAAGATCAAATAGTCAACATTGCTCCTTATATTTGATCTCACCTGTTACGTCTTTAAAATGACTTCAGCAGTGCAAGGTAAAAAGGCAGGGAAGCAATAGCAAAGTGGCTGCTGCTGTGACCATTTGTATTATGGACAGCATTGGAAGGGAATCACCTTTTGGTGACTGGCAAGCATACTGGATGTAATTTTAGGCGGCACCAGCATTGGAAAAACCGAGACAGAACAGGATGGATATGGCTGCTCAAGGCCCAGTTTAAGCACAGACCCAAAGCTTGACTTGTGAAAAGATCCCTTAAATTCACACAAGAAAACAAACAAACAAAAACAAAAGTATGATGCAAGCCATAATCCCTTGCATCAGGGCCGGCTCCAGGCACCAGTTTACCAAGCAGGTGCTTAGGACGGCCATTTCAGAGAGGGGCGGCACGTCCAGCTGTTCGGCGGCAATTCGGCGGAGGGTCCCTCACTCCTGCTCGGAGCGAAGGACCTCCTGCCGAATTGCCACCGCAGATCACGATCGCGGCTTTTTTTGTTTGTTTTGTTTTGTTTGGCTGCTTGGGGCGGCCAAAACCCTGGAGCCAGCCCTACTTGCATGACTCATTAGAACTAGCCAAGCCTTAAGAAAACCCTCTGACAGCAGTTCTCAAACTGTGGGTCAGGACCCCAAAGTGGGTTGGGACTCCATTTTAATGGGGTCGCCAGGGCTGGCTTAGACTTGCTAGGGCCCAGGACTGAAGCCCGAGTCCCACTGCCCGGGACTGAAGCCCAAGGACTTCAGTCCTGGGCAGCGGGGCTCAGGTTACAGGCTCCCTGCCTGGGGCTGAAGCCCTTGAGCTTTGGCTTTGCCCCCCTCCACCTAGGGTGGTGGGGCTTGGGTTTTGTCAGAGGGGGACGTGGTGCAATGAAGTTTGAGAGCCTCTGCTCTATAAGACAAGGCAGCACAGGCTGTATTTGAGGTAGTGGCTCGACCTAAGGAGAACCACAGGATCTTTGGCCAACAGCTTCAATAAAGAATCCCTATTATATTCATTACAACCAGCTCAAGTTTCTTCCCTACCACGAGTGGTAGATACCACAAGGATAAAAGCACCAAAATCATTGCACTTTATACCAGGCAGCTGATGGTTTGGGAAAAGAATCACCAGACAATTAAGTTAAATTACCCTGATGCTTTATTAAATCTTTGACAGAGAGGGTGAAAAACCTCACAGAAACACAAAATCCCCAGTCACATTTCACTGGCTTCTTAATCACTAGCACTCTTTATCATGCACATAAATAATGTGACAGAGCAACACTATGACTATTGTAATTAATCTTAAGTGATGCTTTTATACAACATTACCTAGTTAATATAGTCTTGCAATTAACTATTAGATAATAAATAAAAATTGTTTTGCAAACTCTTTTGGAGAAAATTATGTCTGATTGTAATAAGAGTAATCTTAAAATCCTGGCTGTTTATTTGGATACATTTTGAAATTACAAATAATACAAATGATCTCAGTGGTTTGAGCATTGGCCTGCTAAACCCAAGGTTGTGAATTCAATCCTTGAGGGGGCCCATTTAGGGATCTGGGGCAAAAATCTGTCTGGGGATTGGTCCTGCTTTGAGCAGGGGGTTGGACTACATAACCTCCTGAGGTCCCTTCCAACCCTGATATTCTAGGATTCTATGTAAATGTTGTTTTTTTCAATCACAGCAACAATAGCCCATACAGGAAACACTGTTACAGTAAACTTAGAATCCTTTATATAAAAGAGGGGGGAAAATCTCATTCAAGAGAAAAGTCCATCATCAATTTTGAACACACAAATATACAAGACACTTACAAATTCTGAAAGAATTTGTTAGCCTGACAGGAACATTCTGCATAGATCACAAAATTGGCATTAAGAGGATTATTGCATTTAAGAGAGACATATCATAGCAAAGGACAAACCCCACACTTAAGATACTAGTAAACAAGGATAAAAAACCATCATGGACATTTACAATTATTGAATGTTCTTAAATCAGGCAAATTAGAAGGGTTAAGTTTCAGTTACAATAAATGCAGAAGATAAATTATGTTATACATTCAGTTTGTCATGTTTTAATCTTAGTGTTATCTTTATTGCACATAAGATTTTTTCTTGTTTGTTGTGTATAAAAAATATACAGGCTATATGAAGTGCTAATTAATATTGATCTAGAATATTACATTTTTCCTGATTTAAAACAGCCTTAATGCAACAATAACAGGGTTGCCCCAAGTTGTGTGCCTTTTTTGTTTTTAATTGCCATGCTTTATAACATACGGTAACTCCTCACTTAACGTTGTAGTTATGTTCCTGAAAAATGCTACTTTAAGCGACACAATGTTAGGCTAATCCAATTTCCCCATAAGAATTAATGTAAATTGGAGGGGGGGGAGAATTAGGTTCCAGGGAATTTTTTTTTCAACAGACAAAAAAAAAAAGTTATATTATATATATATATATATATATATATATATATATATATATATATACACACACACACACACACACACACACACACACATGCACACACACACAGTATAAGTTTTAAACAATTTAATACTGTACACAACAATGATGATTGTGAAGCTTGGTTGAGGTGGTGAAGTCAGAGGGTGGGATATTTCCCAGGGAATGCCTTACTGCTAAATGATGAACTAATACTCGGCTGAGCCCTCAAAGGTTAACACATTCTTAATATAGCTTCACACTCTGCAAGGCAGCACAAATGGAGGGAGGAGACACAGAGAGAGACAGAGACAAACTCTGTGTGTGTCTGTGTGTGTGTGAGAATGAGAGAGAGACACACACACTCTGTGTGGGTGAGAGAGAGATGCGCATTGCCCCTTTAAGTACGCTGACCTCACTAAGTACACTGCCTTTTTAAGTAGATCAGCAAGTTGAGACAGCAGCTGCTGCTAGCAACCTCCCTCTGTCCTGAGCCCTGTCATGTCCCACTCCTGCTCTGTGGAGATGGGGTAAAGGAGCAGGGTGGAGGGGGGCAGGAGAACACCCTGACATTAGCACCCCTCTTCTCCCCCCCACCCTCACACAGCAAGCAGGAGGCTCCCAGGAGCAGCTCCAAGGCAGAGGGCAGGAGCAGCACACGGCACGGGGGGAGGGACAGCTGAACTGCCCATCAATTGGTAGCCTGCTGGGCGGCTGCACCACAGGGAACTTAGGGGAGCTGATAAGGGGGCTGCTGGTCCACCCTGGTTCCGAGCCCCAACTAGCTCCAACAAGCTGCTCTTTCTGTAAGCAGTGGACAAAGCAGGCGGCTGCCAAACAACATTATAAGGGAGTATTGTGCAACTTTAAACGAGCACATCCTCTAATTGATCAGCAACGAAACAACTTTAACCGGGATGACGTTAGGTGAGGAGTTACTGTACATAACTCCTCAGTTAGGTTTAGATGTTCACACCTCAGGCCCAGACTCAGTAAAGCACTTACACCCATGCCTAAATGCTCTGCTGAATCAGGGCCTCAATGAATGAAGTGGGATAAGATTAAGTTCCTACTTTACTGCAGATACCACTGTTGACTGAAGAGAAGTTTCTGCAAGGCTGAATTAATGAGACCACAGGGCAAGAATATATGTTGCAATTACTATTTTTGCAACAGTAAAGGTTAGATTTGTTTTAAATGAGAGCTTTGAATTTGTATGAAGACCTTAAAATGGCAGGATTTTTTTTTTTATTTTTTTTTGCACATACGATCTGATTTTGGGGAAATGTGTGCAGTGGGGGGAGGAGGATTCCCCCTGCGTTTCAAAATCTCTCATAAAACTTGTCCCAGGAGCAGACTGAAAGCAACAGCCCCTGTGCCTGTCAGGCCAGGTATGGAGAATGTACAATGATATAATGAAGTAGGGCTTCATTTGGTTCTGCAAAAGCAAATAGGGAAAGCTTCAGCATAGAAAAAAAAAGTATTCTAGAGAAATGAATATCTAAAAAAAGATTTATCATCTTTTTGCAAACTTATCCATACTTAATTACAAAACAAAAAGGATATTGTATATTTAAAATAATGTCATTTGTTCAAAACTCAAATAGCAAATTAAGGCACGTCTATGTTTTAATGCTTCAAGTACTTCACTGTGCATTGTGTAATAAGTTGCCTAGGTAGAACCACAACAGTGCTCTGTGTAAGCTTGAAAAGCATGTCTCTTTCACCAACAGAAGTTGATCCAATAAAAGATATTACCTCACCCACCTTGTCTGTCTAATATCCTGAGACCAACATGGCCACAACAACACTGCAAACAGTGCTTAAAAGCAGCTGATGCACTAACTTGCTCCACCTAGCTGCGGCCATTCATTTGAAGAAAGGGTGTGATGTCTGAGGCCCAGTAGGCTGACATCGATCTTTTTCCATCTAGTTGAGGTTATATGTTATCTTTGGCTATCCATGTCATTTTTCAGTCAAATGTCCCTGGCTGGAGAGGTTGCCAAACACAGGATTGAGCTTGGACCTGATTTCAGAGCAGAAGAGTGCCCCCCTCTATTTTTCAGAAGGAGATCTTTAAGCATTGTTCTTTTCAGTAGCTAGAGTCTTTAGAATAACCAGAGCCATTGAGTTAAGATCATACTGATCTAGTAGAGGATGGGAAAGTACAGGAGAATGACTGAAAACTAGAAGAAGTTAACAAGAGTTATCCACACCTTGGAGGCAGAGACAATTCCAGTCTTATGTTTGTTGGCCTGAGTTGTAGTGGTCTTCAGTAGAACCACTGTTTGAGTATTGCCTTCTCAATTTGAGGTTTGTTTTCCAGTAGCTACCATTACAACATTGGTTTGCAAGGAAGCATTGGATATGGGCACAGTGGCTCTTATCTTTCAAGTTGAGTGGACAGTGCTCACCTCTCTATGCTCCAACGTGGCCTCATGACTGCAGAGACATTCCTCTCAGTCAACGGTGGAGATGCTTGCATGATGATATTTGACTCACACTTTGCCTCCCTGGAGGCATACAAGAAGCTCTGTTTCCTTCTCATGTTTCCTACAAATGCTCTAAGGTAGAAAAAATCCATTCTCAAGAAGTTTTCCTTCATCAAGTCACTGGAAGCCTTTGTTCTCCTAACCAGCTGATTAAACATTCCACTCTTCTTGCAACTGGATGACAGTTTGGGGTTGATGGGCTTTGACCGTGCAAAAAGGATCCGGAATTCCAGGTCAAAGTGTGCGACTGCTGGGCCCGACAGAATCAAGATGTTACTGCTGCTTAGTTTCCCATCAGTCCATGTGAAACTTAATAATGAGAAAATTCACAAATGATGTTAATTTATTAAAATAAATAATACACCCACACAAAGGTTGAAATAGTGCCAATACATGTTCTCTTTCAATACAAGAAACTAGATTGTTACTGTACTACGGATAGTTAGCAACATAATTTTTAATGCAAACATCACATACGATCAACAGCTCACAAGAAAAACAGTTTTGTACTATTACCCTTCACCCCACAATCCAAAGAAGTCATCGGAGACAAGGACATGAAAAGAAATAGGGTACTTGCCTGTAGGAACCTGTTGTCACTCTTATGCCATCAACCAAGATAAACTTTTCTTGGACCTTCCCCACAATTTTGACTCCTGACCTTGTGCAATAAGTGTTTCCCGATATAGTTCGAACTCTCATCAGCTGTTTGAAAGAGAAAAAAGGTATTTAAGTTTTGACATATCAAAAGAAAATGATTCTACCTAAGAGGGAAACTTACAAACATTAATGATAAAACAGAGTCCGAAGACCACTGTTGATCAGCTAACACAGGATGCTGCTGAGTGGCATAAGATTCTCTCTCCTAAGGAGTCAAATGACCATTCTAAGGGGTTCTTGTGGCTTAGGGAGCAAAACACGAAGTGAAAATTTGAACCAGAATTTAGTCTCCCTCTTTGTAAAGCAGAGAGCCTTGACACTGTTGGACTAACAAGACCACTCAACGTATTTGTCCTTCAGGGAATAAGAAATGGACTAAACTGAACTGAAACCTCCTTTGTGTCCTTACAAAAGAGTGACTAAAATATAGTGGATTATGTGTTTACCCAGTATGAGTCCCCTCCCCCTTTAAATAATTTATGTTTGTGGGAAGAGAACCCCTCTTTCAACAGATTTCCTAGAAGAAGGAAAAAACTTTAATCATCTGGGCCAGAAACATTAAGACATTCATCAGAAAGATTCCCAATTCTAAGGAAAGTCAATTTACTTTATGAGATGGCTACAGCTATTTAAATAAAGAAAAGAGTGTCTGCAGTGCTTTCAGCAATCCCATAACAAGTGTTAAAGACAAAAATCACTTCAATATAATACATGGGTGTTAGTGCACCTCTAAAGACATCATCGTTTGTGCACTTAATGCCTTGTTTTTCAAGAGCAGTTAAAACTTACAAAAAAAAGAGCAAGCGCTACATAGATCATATTTCTTTTGAAAACTCAGATGTTATGGTTGCAATAGGGCCAATAACCAGTTGTTTGTTGCCATAAGTATCACAGTGCTTACCTTCTCCTGCTCAAGATCAACTCCTAGATTTCTGCACATTTTCAGAAAGTGGGGAAATGAAGCACGATCTAAAAGGATGTACACACTAACTTTCCGCTTGCTACAGGCTTCCTGAAGGTCTTTGAAGATATCAATGTCTGTGAAGGTATCCATAACCACAGCAATAACCTGAAACAAATACAGAAGAAACCATTAGTTCAAGAAAGCCTTGTGACCTATGTCTTATTTTTCTCAGCACCCCAGGGAAGATTTAGAAGGGGCAGAGGGGTGTATGAATCAATTTAGCTTCCAAATTAAGTAGACCCCTGGTTGGTTTCTTTTTATTGATACCATATTCCCTAGACAAGTTTCCATTTCCCTTGCTACTTTTTTTAAGTGTTATTTTATTGTGACATAGTCAACCTGTTCTGTCATTCTTAGCAGCATTCCACAAGTGTGTCAAGTACTGGATAATTTAGATATGTAATGTTGTAGCTGCATCAGTCCCTGGATATTAGAGAGATAAGGTGGATGACGTAATAGCTTTTATTGAACCAACTTGTTGATGACAGACAAATCCCTGGCTGAATCAGAGCTGTATGTGCAAGCTCTACAGTGGGAAAGCTTTTTATATTGCTCTGCATCAGAGGTGAGAGAGGACACCACGATACTGAGGGATGGAAGGGTAAGGGAATGGGTTTAGGTTAAGCTAACAGCACTTCAAAGGGAAAACACATGGGTATTGCAGGTGTACTATACATCTGTTAGGTATCAAATATGTTGCTTCACAGCACACCTAAAGTATAATGGGTACCCATTATAATCAATCTCTGCATATCATCGCTTCCACAAAGTCATACATAGTAAAATGGAAACATAAATATTGAACTCGTAGGAAGATGGGAGTCTGCTTCTTAGAGTATTCATTCTGTCTTTGACACTTACCATTTGATAATGTATAAAAAGAAAGTACATCTAAGATTCTTTGCTATACCATCTACGTGGTTTCCTTTTGTACACCTGGAATTGCAATAGCAGGAACTACAGAGTCTGCGAATAGGGAATACATCTCTTTGGTTCATAGGGTGCAAACGACACAATTAAATAGCTGAAGGCAGGTAAGTGAATTGGGAAAGCGAGATTGCTGGCTGTCAGTCCTTTCTGCCAATGCATAAGTTACTCAGGAAAAGGAATCTTATATACATTCAGAATCAAGTACTGAATCATCACTTATCAGGGAACACTATCTCCGTTTGTCTTTGCTCAGCAGCATCTTGCTCACTGTTTAATTATATTTGTTTTCTATGTTCCCTCTTGTGTATTGCATGACTTCACCTGCAAGGTTGAGCCACATAGGTCTTAAGGTTCCTTCATTTCCCCCACCTCTACATTGATCCCAAGACCCACCAGGGCAGGCAGGGACCACAGGCTGCTCTCCAACACCAGATGAGTGGGCTAGAAAGAAGCTTACTTAGAAACATTTTTTTAAAAATAAGTGTTTCACCACCAGCCTTCCACAACCAAATAGTTGACCTTTGATACCATTCAGCCACTTAATAAACTGAGATATGGGAATGGGGAGTAAATATCCAGTCCAAAACAGAACTTTGGCAAGATGGTTAATTCTTAGCTTGAAGTTTCTTACACTGAAGTACCCCAAGTTGGAGATGCAACATAAATGCAAGCCGTTTTGATAGACACATCCTAAGTCAGAGATTGTGGGATTGTCCCCTCTTCCTGTAAATGTATTGCTTGAAGAGAAGGACTGCTTCAGTCCCAAAACTTGGAAAGGATCACTGACTTCACCACGGGTATCTGCAAAGGGTTTGAGTATGCAAGGAAAAGGAACTTCTCAGCACAGCAAATACCTTCACTGGTGTGAATTGTTTTCCCCTTTACTATCATTTCTTTACATGAGAAGAAATGCTGAGGATCCTTACTGTATTGTCATTAGTAGGGCTGTTGAGTGATTAAAAAAAATAATCACAATTAATCGCATGATTAAAAAAATTAATCGTGATTAAATCACACAATAATAGAATACCATTTATTTACATATTTTTGGATGTTTTCTACATTTTCAAATATATTGACAGAACAGAGTACAGTGCTCACTTTATTTTTGATTACAAACATTTGTGCTGAAAAAAAATATTTTTCAATTCACCTCATACAAGTACTGTAATGCAATCTCTTTACCATGAAAGTTGAACTTACAAATGTAGAATTATGTACAAAAAATAACTGCATTCAAAAATAAAACAATGTAAAACTTTAGAGACTACAAGCCCACAGAATCCTACTTCTTGTTCAGCCAGTCACTCAGACAAACAAGTTTGTTTACATTTGCAGGAGATAATGCTGCCTGCTTCTTGTTCACAATGTCACCTGAAAGTGAGAACAGGCGTTCGCATGGCATTGTTGTAGCCGGCGTCGCAAGACATTTACCGTGTCAGATAAGCTAAAGATTCATATGTCCCTTCATGCTTCAACCATCATCCCAGAGGACATGCGTCCATGCTGATGTTGGGTTCTGCTCGATAACAGTGCAGACTTTCATCATCTGAGTCAGATGCCACCAGCAGACGGTTGATTTTCTTTTTTTGTGGTTCGAGTTATGTAGTTTCCGCATCGGAGTGTTACTCTTTTAAGACTTCTGAAAGCATGCTCCACACCGTGTCCCTCTAAGATTTTGGAAGGCACTTCAGATTCTTAAACCTTGGGTTGAGTGCTGTAGCTATCTTTAGAAATCTCACATTGTACCTTCTTTGCGTTTTGTCAAATCTGCAGTGATAGTGTTCTTAAAATGAAAAACATGTGCTGGTTCATCATCCGAGACTGCTATAACATGAAATATATTGCAGAATGCAGGTAAAACAGCAGGAAACATACTGTTCTCCCCCACAGTGAGCTCAGTCAAAATTTAATTAATGCATTTTTTAAACAAGCGTCACCAGCATATCTGACATGTAAATACCTTGAAATCCCGGCTAAAAAAGTGCCATGTGAATGCCTGTTCTCGCTTTCAGGTAACACTGTAAATAAGAAGCAGGCAGCATTATCTCCTGAAAATGTAATCAATGTTGTATGTCTTAGCGATTGGCTGAACAAGAAGTAGGACTGAGTGGACTTATAGGCTCTAAAGTTTTACATTGTTTTGTTTTTGAGTGCAGTTATGTAACAAACAAACAAAAATACATTTGTAAATTGCACTTTCACAATAAAGCGATTGCATTATGGTACTTGTATGAGGTGAATTGAAAAATACTAGTCTCTTTTTTTATAATTTTTACAGTGCAAATATTTGTAATCAAAATAATATAAAGTGAGCACTGTAGACTGTATTCTGTGTTGTATTTAAAATCAATATATTTGAAAATCTAGAAAAAAATCCAAAAATATTTAATAAACTTCAATTGGTATTCTATTGTTTAACAATGTGATTAAAACTGCAATTAATCATGATTCATTTTTTTTTAGTTAATCGCGTGAGTTAACTGTGATTAATTGACAGCCCTAGTCATTAGGGATCCCACAACATTTTGAACAAAGGAAGCATTATTAGTCTAGATGGCCTGGCCAAGATCCAGCTTGGATAATTACATTCTGCCTTCATAGCTGATATCATAGGGAGAAATCTAAGTAGAGATGTTCTTCAGTTCTCCTCTGAAAAACTTAAGTGGGACTAACTTAAGTTAGCCTCACTTCAGGCCCCAGCAAAATCATAGAGCAGGTCCTCAAGGAATTCATTTTGAAGCACTTGGAGGAGAGGAAGGTGATCAGGAACATTCAACATGGATTCATGCCTGACCAACCTGATTGCCTTCGATGATGAGATAACTGGCTCTGTGGATATGAGGAAAGCGGTGGATGTGATATATCTTGACTTTAGCAAAGCTTTTGATACGGTCTCCCACAGTATTCTTGCCAGCAAGTTAAAGAAGTATGGATTGGATGAATGGACTATAAGGTGGATAGAAAGCTGGCTAGATTGTCGGGCTCAACGGGTAGTGATCAATGGCTCAATGTCTAGTTGGCAGCCGGTATTAAGCGGAGTGCCCAGGGGTCAGTCCTGGGGCTGGTTTTGTTCAACATCTTTATTAATGATCTGGATGATGGGATGAATCGCACCCTCAGCAAGTTTGCAGATGACACTAAACTGGGGGGAGAGGTAGATTAGCTGGAGGGTAGGGATAGGATCCAGAATGACCTAGACAAATTGGAAGATTGGGCCAAAAGAAATCTGATGGGGTTCAACAAGGATAAGTGCAGAGTCCTGCACTTAGGAAGGAAGAATCCCATGCACCGCTACAGGCTGGGGACCGACTGGCTAAGCAGCAGTTCTGCAGAAAAGGACATGGGGATTACAGTGGATGAGAAGCTGGATATGAGTCAGCAGTGTGCCCTTGTTGCCAAGAAGGCCAACGGCATGTTGGGCTGTATTAGTAGGAGCACTGCCAGCAGATCAAGGGAAGTGATTATTCCCCTCTATTTGGCACTGGTGAGGCCACACCTGGAGTATTGCGTCCAGTTTTGGCCCCCCCACTACAGAAGGGATGTGGACAAATTGGAGAGAGTCCAGCAGAGGGCAACGAAAATGATTAGGGGGCTGGAGCACATGACTTACAAGGAGTGAGGGGGGATCTGATAGCAGCCTTCAACTACCTGAAGGGGGGTTCCAAAGAGGATGGAGCTCGGCTGTTCTCAGTCGTGGCAGATGACAGAAGAAGCAATGGTCTCAAGTTGCAGTAGGGGAGGTCTAGGTTGGATCTTAGGAAACACTATTTCACTAGGAGGGTGGTGAAGTACTGGAATGGGTTACCTAGGGAGGTGGTGGAATCTCCATCCTTAGAGGTTTTTAAGGCCCGGCTTGAAAAACCCTGGCTGGGATGATTTAGTCGGTGTTGGTCCTGCTTTGAGCACGGGGTTTGACTAGATGACCTCCTGAGGTCTCTTCCAACCCTAATATTCTATGATTCTATGACTACAGTAACTCCTCACTTAAAGTCGTCCTGGTTAATGTTGTTTTGTTGTTATGCTGTTGATCAATTAGAGAACATGCTTGTTCAAAGTTGTACAATCCTCCCTTATAACGTCATTTGGCAGCCCCCTGCTTTGTCCACTGCTTGCAGAAAGAGCAGCCCATTGCAGCTAGCTGGTGGGGGCTTGGAACCAGGGCGGACCGGCAGCTCCTCCCCCCCCTCCCTGCTCTCCTAAGTTCCCTGTGCGGCACTCACCCAGCAGGCCATCAATTGCCAGGCAGTTCAGCTGTCCCTCCCCCCACTGCCATGTGCTGCTCCTGCCCTCTGCCTTGGAGCTGCTCCCGGGACCCTCCTGCTTGCTGTGCAGGGGGGGAGGGGGGCTAATGTCAGTTTGTCCCCCCTCCCCCTGCCCCCCACTTACTCCATCTCCATAGAGCAGAGGGGGAACACGGGAGGGAGCTTGCTGGCAGCAGCTGCTGTCTCAACTTGCTGATCTACTTAAAAAGGCAGTGTACTTAAAGGGGCAATGAGCATCTCTCTCTCTCTCACACACACACACAGGGTGTGTATCTCTGTCTGCCATGTTGTCTCCCCTCTCTCCATTTGTGCTGCCTTGTAGAGTGTGAGGCTGCATTAACAACAATGTGTTAACCCTTGAGGGCTCAGCTGAGTGCTAGTTCATCATTTAGCAGTAAGGCATTCCCTGGGAAATATCCCGCCCTCTTCCTCCATCACCTCAACCAAGCTTCACAATCATCATGGCTATGTACAGTATTAAATTGTTTGTTTAAAACTTAACTACTGTGTGTATATATAATATAGTCTTGTCTGATGAAAAAAATTTCCCTTGAACCTACCTCCCCCCCATTTACATTAATTCTTATGGGGAAATTGGATTCACTTAACCTTGTTTCGCTTAAGGTTGCATTTTTCAGGCACATAACTACTACGTTAAGCGAGGAGTTACTGTACAAGCAGAAGGCTGCTATATTCCATCCTAGAGGTGGCATGAGTGATCCCCAGGTGAACTATGTACGTAGCACCCATTGTGCGTTAGACACAAGTTATCAGGTTTTATTTAAAAGACACACTGTGCGATGGTGTGATACTAAGGTGCCACAAGCATGTGTTTTGGGATGACCACATTACTCATAATTGCCAAGGTCCCAAGTGAGCTAACCAAGGCCAATGAGAGTCCATAAGCACACTACACTGTCATTTATTCTGCATATAACACATACCTTGCCGAAAGACTAGTTTCTAAAGTATGAGAGATTTTATCACAAAGCAGACAGAATCCCTGCCCTGAGGAGTCTCTCCCTTCCTTCATTCTCCTGCAGGATTGTAGTGATGGCCTATCCACAGAGGAAAGCTCACCACCACCATGAATGTCACACATTTTTACAAGACCAAATATTAAAGTAGTGATTTGTTTTTAAATGCAATAAATAATAATGCTAAACTGCAGATTTCAGAATTGAATCCTAGCTGGTTGGAGATCAGGGACCAAAGCCAGGGGGTCTTTAGTGCAACACCGGCGTCCAGGGCCAGGCTCCTAGTTCCCCAGGCACAGAGGAGCGTTGTGCAGCGCAGTATCCCCCCGGGTTTCCCAGGGCGCCCGGAGGAGGAGGCTCGGGCAGGAAGGGGGCGCAGAGGCCGGGCTGGGGACTCACCTCCCTGGCCGAGCGGATCTGCCTGCGCACCGCCTCCTTGCAGCTGTAGATGGTCTCCCCGAAGCTGGGCTGGAAAAGCGCCTCCACGCGCGTGAGGCCGCGGTACGAGCCGCTGGAGAAGGCCGGCCAGCCCAGCTCCAGCACGGGCGGCTCCACGTCCGACTGCTCGGGGAAGTAGGTGAGCGAGGAGCAGTCCAGCGAGGCGCTGAGCGAGGGCTCGGCCGCCCCGTCCTCGGCCCCGGCCGGCGGCGCGGCCGCCTGGAGGATAGCCTGGATCTCGGGCTCCGAGAGGAAGCCGGGCACCTTCTCCCGGCGCAGGAAAGCGCGGAAAGCGGCCCGGCCGCCCGCCACCAGCTCCTCCAGCGCCAGCCGCTGCGCCTCGCTGTAGAGCTCGGGCGAGCTCGGCTCCCCGGGGGGCCAGCGGCCGGGCGCGTCCTCCAGGCACTGGGACTG